CCCGCGCCAGCTCTCCCCCCCCCCCGCCGCCGCCGAAGCCAGGGGCGCCCCGCGCCACCTCTGCCCCCCCCCCAGCCAGGGGCGTCCCGCGCCAGCTCTACCCCCCACCGCTCAGCCAGGCGGCTCAGCTCCCCTTACATCCCCCTCCCAACTCCATCCTCACTCTTTCATGCCCCCTCCCCCCCCATCACGCTCCTCCTACAGGTCAGAGAGGCTCGTCCCCCTCCCTTTGGGTGCGGGGTTTGAAAGCGGACGAGCCCATGTACGGCGAAGCGGGGGGAGGCGGATCGGGGGAGGAGGGCGGGCTCACCCTCGCCCATCCCCTCTCGCCACCCTCTGGACAGGCGACTGCTGGAGGGGCCCCAAAGAGGGCGCGGGGGCTCGTCCGCGGCGGCTCTGTGCGCGCGCTGGCCCCCGTGCCCCGATGTGGTCTCGCCCGCTCCCCCCGCTCAGCGCAGTGGGACGTGCCCGGGATTTCGCGTCACCCATTGTTTACAAACCAAGCCCAGCAGCGGGCTGCTGCGAGTCGGGTTTGCACCGGCGCGGCGCGCGGAGCCGGCCGAGATGCCCTGCCTGCCCGGGGAGCGCTTTCTGCTGCTGGAGCGCTCGGTCGCCGTGGGGCAGGCGGGCTCCAAGGACGTGGACGCGCTGGTGGCCAAGCTGGGCGAGGTGCTGCAGCTAAGCGCCCAGCGGGCACCGGCCCCCCGCGGCCCCAAGCACCCGCCGCCCACCACCGCCCGGGGCCGCGCCGCGCCCTACTCCCCCCGCGGCAGCGGCCTCCTGGTCCCGCGGGGCCCGCCCCCCCTGCAGCCGCACCAGCCCGCGGAGCCCCAGCGGCCGGGCAAGAATAGCCAGCGGGTGGCCAAGCAGCTGTGCGGCCGGGGCTGGCTGCGGAGCGCCGCCCACAGGAGGAAGCGGCCGGGCCCCGGGGAAGCGCCCGGCGAAGAAGAGGATCCGCACCGGCTCCTGCAGCAGCTCATCCTCTCCGGGAACCTCATCAAGGAGGCCGTCAGGCGCCTGCAGCTGGCGGCGGCGGCCGTGGCCACAGCAACCACCGGCGGCAGCGGGGAGGGGGAAGCAGCAGCCCTGCAGCCTCTGCAATAGCCCCGCGGGTTGCGGAGATCCCGTGGCACCGAGCTCCGCGCCGGGATCAGGACATCGCATGTGGGAGGGGCCAGCTATCGGCGGATCTATCTGGGGGGCGACCCCCGTACTTGAAACTGACTCTTTATTGACAGTGAGATCCCGTGGCCGGGGTCAGGCTATTCTGTATAAAACGTGGTGCTAGCCCCGAAGCGCTGTAAGTCTCTGTAGTGGTCGCTAATGGGGGTGGGGGAAGGAGGGAGCCCCCCACCTTCATCGAGCGGGCCCCGCTCCGCGGAGATGCAGACCCCCTCAACTCGCTGCTGTGTGTCGGTGCGGGGAAAGGGACCACCACGCTGGGCCAATCCCGACCTGCCGTTGTTTTGGAGGAAGGGGTCATGGAGGGGAGCGGGAGATGCGGCACCCGGCAGGGGGAGGGGTACGCGTGTGGGGCGGCGGGGAGGTAGGTTTAGGTGGAGCGGGTTTAAAATTTCGTGGGTCCTATTCCTCTGCCCCAAGGTCACCGCTTGCAGTCCCCGAAAGGCGCATCCACCCAGCGCACGCACGGTGGTGGTGTTTTCACCAGCCGGTTGGAGATAGTAACCCTATCTTAGCTTGTTTTGACTGTACTGTGGGCGAGCCCTGTGTTTTGTAACCGCTGGGAGTCTCCTGAGGACGTGCACGTTGCCCGATCCGAGTTGTTGTGCTTCCCCCCCCTCCCCTTTCCAAGAGCTCCTCCTACCAGTGGGATTCTCAGAAACAGGGTCATATTACAGCAAGCTCTCTAAGAACCCCACCAGTCCCCGTCCGTCCTTCCTGCTAATACCACTGCCATTGCTCCGGCACTCGGGGGCTCTTTCTAGGAGGATGGACAAGAGAGAAGGCTGTTTGTCTCTTCACACCCCTGCCCTGTTATTCGCACTGCCAGCGCGCTCCAGGCTGGGAGTCTTTCTCGCTACACGGGAGTAGATTTGTCCGTCTCTGGTGGTCTCACAGGAGCCATTTGCAATAAGTTTAAAATATCTTATTGGGAGGTGCGTGTTTCCTTTCCCCTCCTGGGTTTCTTTTTTACACTTTTCCCATTGTGACTACAGAGCGGTTTTAAATGTGAATCTCAGAACTGGAAAGCCGCTGAACTGATCATTGTGAAGTGTGAGTGAATGAAGACAGAGATACATTGTTCACATATGGTAGCTAAATAACTTTTTATTTTTTCCAAAAAAACAAAACAAAACCTCAATGGCTGGATTGAAAAGATGCTGGCTGTTGTCAAAATATATACACTTCGTAACGGAGTGTTTGAATTGTGTTCCTGGTTTACAGGACTTGTCTTAATTAACATGTCTGTATTGAATAAATGTGGTCTTGTTTTTAGCTTGGGTCTGTGTCTTATTGACATCGAGGAAAGTAAACCTCTTTATATGAACTAAGCAGTGGTGACAGTCTTACAAACATACATAACCCATCATATTTCCCTTTCAGTTAAGAGATCTCCATTTTGCAGACAAAACAACAATCCGCATAGTCTGATGCAGTGGGACACCAGTTATTAATGCATTGAGATGCAATTGAGCCCCTTTGTTCGCAAGCAGCATTCTTTCTTACACCAAGGGACATCCTTTCCTGCAGACTCAACCTTGCCACAGGAATTCATAAGTCAAATCACACTTGACAACAGAATTAACAATCTAGTATATCACATTAAAGGGAGGAAAGAAGATGAAGTTGGCTATTTATTCATGTTCTTTATTTCCTGGGGAAGAAGAGCATACAACTAACCTGAGAGGGAAAGGGTGTAATAGGCTCCTACATCTCAGTAGGAACAGACTTACGGAGATTTATTCAAAAACAATGGTGCTAATTGGTGTTTTAAAAACTTATTCTGAATGTTTTAGGTTAGTAGGTAATCTCATTCCATTTTAAAATAGTCATCAAATGAGTTTTAAAATTAGGTTTGTACACACACTAGAAAACAATTTCCCCTTTTCCGTCTTCCCCCTCCCCTACACACATTGGGGTAAAAGCAGCTCCTTTGAAGGTATAATCCCATTTGAAAGAAAATGGAAGATGTTTACCTCTGAGCAGTTAGTTACTTGCACCGTTCACTCTTTTTGAAGGTCAAATTTGATCCATAAACTACTTACGTCAAGACATATTTTTCTTGTGCTAGCACTGAGTGATATACGTAATCTTTAGTACCTAATTGTGTTTAATGTTCAGTTGAAGTATTGATTTCAGGTTTTGTTTTTTTGTCCTAAGGTGGTAGTAAATAAGTAGTATGTACTGTGCTTTTTACCAGCTTTTTCTTCTTTTTTCTAATTTGTAAGCAGACTTGTGGACATGTAATGTGATCTTTCATAACAAAGCACATAACTTAAAGGAACATGGTAAGAGCAGACTTCAAAAACATTGTAATATCTAATTCCTAATATCTGAAACAATTTTAAAACCTAAGTTTCATAATTTATGTGGTTTACTCTTTTTTGCATTTTACACAGCTAGGAATAAACAGACTTGCTATTACCTTTGTTCTTGTGCTTTATCAGAATGTTGCAATATTTAGGTTACAAATACTGCAGAAGAGTTATTTTAAAATTTTCTATTTCATTCTTTAACTCCCAAAAGTCTAAGATGTAAAACAATCTGACTTTCAAATGTAACTACCTGCCATTGTGCCTTTACATCTATTCATTTTCATATTTTTGTCCAATAGTCCCAGGACCAGAGTTGCACCCACTGTGCTAATGGTTAACTTAAATCCTGGAATGAACAGTTTAATTACCTGGGTTTATTTAGTAACTCTGTTACATTACCTAACTTGGCTGACGTAGTGTCAGTATTTATGCAACTTTGGTTAAATATGTGAATGTATAAAATAAAGGCCAACTAAAATATCCCCATACTGATTTTACCTCTGAGTTTCCATTACTTCAGTTTATGCACAGAGATTCTACATTTCCCCTCCAAAACCCAAACACAGATCTGTGTATATTAATGAGAACAGTTAACTTTACAAGTGTTCTTTATAGTCAGTGAAAGAAATAAGACATTCATTCTAAGGGTTTTACTAGAATAATACATTTTAATAAACTTGCAATTGAAATGAGACGTAGAGAAGACACTAGTAAATTTCATTGACTAGTTGGTTTTTAACTTTCTAAATTGCTTTTAAAATAACCTTTACTCTTTCCTTGTGCAGGACTGGGACATCTGTGGATAGGAAAGGGCTCCATTGAGTTAAGCATTGTGTACACTGTGTGTGATGGCGTTGTGTAAAGGGATTTTGGCATTCATTTTGGATGATTTTCAAAACTCTCTCCAATGCTTCTACCACTTGTAACATGAACCTAATAAACACATGCCAATAAACTTTTAACACTCCCCTCCATACATGTCTTAAGAAAATTCTTATTCAAAATAGAGCTTGCATCATGATTTTCACAAATAAACATCAAATTTGGTCTATCATTTTGGTTCTGGAAAACAAGACAAGTAGTGTAAGACCAATTGACACATTTTTATACTCTTTCTAGTTTATTTTAATAAACCCCACAAAACATTACCTTGCAGTGCAAATATTGCTGTACTATCCTATGCATAACAACCTGAAAGTGATACTTATTCAAGAAAGATTTCATTGTTTGCTAAGTAGTGCAAAGATAAAAGTAGAAACAGTGAAATAAACTGTTTCCTACATTTCTTTAAATATGCTTTGCTCAACTAAGGTACACTTTAACAAAAAATTAACTTGATTTACTCCATACTGCCTTTGCCCTTCACAGCACACTTAGCTTGTTCAATTTTGAAAGATAAAATCTTTGTCTCTCAACAACTTTAGATGTTTTTGAATTGTTACTGTACCCAAAAAGTCTTATTAGTGCATCTACAATTTTCCTAGTTGCTGTGTTTTGATGTTTTTTAATGGGTTCATCTCCTTTTCCTGGTCAGATCAGCAGGAAAACTGGGTAGAAAAGCAGGTTCTTTCAGCAAATGGGTTATGATCTCCAGGGCCCAAATTAAAGACCTACATATTTGTAATAAACAAGTGTTATAGTAATAGTTTTTGGAGCTGGTTCAGTCTTTTATGCACTTCTAGGGTTCTGTATTTCTGGTGAATATTGATCTTAATTTTTGTAAAAATATGAAAAGGAGTTATTGTATCTTATTGTGCACTTAAATGTTGTTGGGTTAGTATGGCACAAAGTTGCACATTAATAATATAAACAATGTTTTTTTACCCCCTGAATTCTCTGTAGGAGCAGAGAAATGTTTTCGTGACTCTTTGGACAAAACCCTGCTTCACACCATTGTTTTATCTTGCTTATTCTATTGTACCTTTCTCCTTGATTGACAGAAGGTGACAGTAACATTCAGCAGCTAGAATAATCTTCCCTGCCTGCCACTCTGGCCACATTTCTCATTCCTTCAGATTAGTCTGCAGTAGTGCCTAGAGCTTTCAATCAGGAGTGGGTCTCTATTGTGCTAAGCATAGTAGATGTATACAGAAAGGTATGGTCACCGTCCTGAGTGCTTACAGTCTCATGTTATGACAAGACTTAAGTGTGTCTGACAAACAGTAGAAGGGAGAGGAAGAACATGGGCTGGTTAATGCACAATTTGAGTCCTATTCAAAACACCATCACTGGCTTTCAGATTCCTCATTCCTTCCTCTACCCCATCTATATCACATCCTCCCCATTGCTCTCTGCTCTACACATCATTTTGTGGCTCCCTTTGTTATCATCTCCAACTCTCACTTGTGTGCCTGTTGTCTCGCTGGTCCCAACGACATGAATAACATCTCTTATCCTCAGTTCTAAGCATCTTTGTTCTCCCAAATCCCTCTTTGAGTGCACTTATTTTACCTTGTTTCAGAGGGTAGCCATGTTAGTCTGTATCAGCAAAAACAATGAGGAGTCCTTGTGGCACCTTAGAGACTAACACATTTATTTGGGTTTTAGCCCACGAAATCTTATGCCCAAATAAATGTGTTAGTCTCTAAGGTGCCACAAGGACTCCTCATTTTTTTACCTTGCTTTTCCTTGTTGACTTCCAGTTTTGCTCTGGCTCAATCTTTGCTTGACAGAAACAAGGTGAGTGAGAGAATATCTTTTATTGGACCAACTTCTTGACAAAAGCTGTTCTCTGTCTCTTCCACCAATAGAAGATGTTTTCTTACTCACCTTATGCCATCTCTGCTTGTATCAGAAATCTCATTTGCTTGCTATATGACTCACATTGTATTATTTTTAATTCTTCTGTCCTCTTTAAATTCAGCAAAAATGAAAGTAACTTTAAATTGAGCCTCAGGAACCAGAGGTGAAATCTGGGTCCCACTTAAGTCTAATGCAAGACTCCCATTGATTTCTGTGGGGTTTCACCCCATGTATTAAAGTCCCTGTAAAGCACCAT